GCCACTAATGTACAAATGAAGTTGGTTCATGAGTGGGTTTTAAGTTGTTGGTATAGATTTTTCATTCATGTGAATGACTACTAGAACTGAGTTTTTAATGTATGATCATATTGTGTCTGTCCTCACTGATACTAAGTAATATTGGTGTTACCGTATATGTATTTCAACATAAAGCCCCCTAATAACAAACCACTAGTAGGATAGCATTACAGATGGGAATTGTATTAACTGGAAAGGATTAAGAAGTCTAAACTGCATTATCTTTTTGTAGCCTAAAAAAAATAATTGCATGTGCACAGAATACAGCAGGTGATTTCTGGTACCTCATTATTTCTTCTGTAACAAGAACACCTTGCACCTGGAGCAGGGAAGGAAGACTTGCATGTGAATGATGTTTCCAGCTTAGTATTTTACTTTGTGGGTTAACTTTAGGGCAGAGTTGTTAATAGTCCTTTTCAGGCTGTGGTACTGCTACTACCCAGTCCTGCTCCCTTTCTTCTGTTGAAGCTGGTGCTGTCTTAGACACTCGGTGATGTTTCTCGGCTCTCTTAAGCTGGTAGGTAGAAAACATGGCAGCTCCACCCAAAAAAACTCCAGCAAAACCCAGAATTCTGCCAACTGATTTAGCTGATCTGACTTCCTGAGGGGTTGGACTGCCAGTGCTGTCCCAGCCCAGGGAGTGGGATTGCTTGCCGGAAGCATGGCAGTTGTGAGTAAGCATTGATTCCAGCTGGCTTCAATCGGGGACTGCCATAAACCCATGCCCTGTTTTGAACAAGGGTAGTGCTTGCTTCCTGGTAAAGCTCTGTGACCTTTTTGAGGATAAATGGAAGAAATGAAATACATGCAACCTGCAAATACCAGTGCCGCATGGGATGTGTTCTCTTAGACTTTATGAAGTCTTGAATGACTGCTGATACAAACACCACTCCCCCACCCCCCCTTTTAAAAAAAGTCATCAGGACAAAAATACCTGTTATTTGACATGGGATTTGCATCAAATGGCCTGTTTTGATGGTTGATGCTTTAACAGAATATAATGCAACAGAGACTTTAATCATTGTCTCTATTTGAAGAGCTGTAGTGTTCTGAACTATTTTCTTTGTTACTTAGCAGTGGAAGTTACTTTTTTTTACATTACAAACTACTAGGTATTTAGGAAATCTATTTCGCTTCTACTAAGCTTTGACTTAGTAAAATTACTGAGATGGTAATTAACATTTTTAAGGAGCTGTATGTAAATGGAAACTGGGTCGTTTGCATGGTAGCATATGGCATTCTAAAAGTATTCCAGGGTGGAAAGATGTTAAATACTATAATGACTTAGTGTGAGTCTGCTGAAGTTCCAAGAACAAAAACATTAGTGGACCACAGCAGTGGGGTTTAGGCAAGGTACTTGGTAATTCTTCCCCTACTGTTGTAATGGAACTAACATAAAATGAGCACAAAATAGCATTCACTAGACCTTGTCCTGATAGAGTTTCTGCACAACTTTGGAAATAAATATTAAGAAAATATGTTACAAAGGAATGTGGAGTTTGTTGTACAGTTTTTGCATTGATCTGTGGGGTTTTTTTTCATGTTTCTCTGCAAAATAATTTCTAAAAGCAGTTTTTTGCAGAAATGTGCTCATTCTGAGTGTAGCAGGAAAAGCTGTATGCAAGAGTATGTGAGTTGTAGAGCTTCAACATGAGGAGTGGTTGGCCTTTGTGCTCAGCTTCCTGAAGCATGGATTTAAGAGGGTGAATGTCCTCATATCTGTACCAAGATGAGATTTAACAGACTTGATCAAAACTGAGTTCGATAGTTTGGCTTTTGCAAGAATGAAAGGTGAAGCATTTGTGCTTCCCAGGCATGCTTTAATCACAGCATCTTTAATAAGCATGATTACCTTCATTTCAGCTGAAAGGATTACTTGACTGTAATTTATATGCAGTTGACTCTGTGAATTTATATACACATAATGCACAGTAGACACTCATTTACATATACATTAACATGAGAATGCTTTGGAGGGGATGCCAGCAGAAAGGTTGAAAGCCGTGATTCTTTAGGTTCGCTTTATACTTGTTTCCTTAGTGTTTGATGTGGACTTGAAGCGTTACAGGGAAGTGGACTGCCAGGTTCCATATTTAATTATCATAGATGCACTTCCAAGTAAAGTTACGGTAAGAGTGGGACAGTCGTAACCACTGGGTAATACTGTATAATCATAGTTATGCATGTTGGGTCCTTCACAGAAGGCCTTAAAATAATTAATTTTAATTAGAAATTATCTGAAGCTTCATCTGCATTACGAAAGCTGTAAGCACTTTTTTGTAGGCTTGTGGGTCTCTGCTGGAGTGTGAAGCAGAAGTGGTCAAAGTACATTACTGTTCAACCAAAGCTGAATTAGTGGGGATGTGTGTGTGTGCACAAATTTCAAAGTACAGATGCAGTTGAAGTTGACATTCTTTCCAGTAAGAGGCAGCTTTCAGGTTTCCAGTGTCATAGTGTTTTTTCCCTTTACTTAAGTGGAACTCCTTTCACTTAATCTGCACTGTGCTTCCTGTCAAGTATGATGAGTTGTCTGACCTTTCCTCCAAATTTTCTGTACCTTTTCAGCTTTGTATGGCTTCTGTTTTAAGTCATCCCCAGAATGTACATGCTTGTGTTCTTCCTCAGTCATTGATTAATACTTCTAATAGTTTGTTGGTTTAATATATTTTACCCAAATATTCATAGAATACTCTTGCTGAATTTTCAGTCCTCTTTCTTTCTCATTGCCATTCAGAATGGTGAGAGGGTTACAGGATTTTCTTTCCTCCTAATTGCTGTAGAGACTGCAATGAGGAGCAGCATATCTGTAGGGATATGAGGATGTAGGAGAGTGCTGTTTATGTCTGAGTGGAAGGTTTTATTCACCTCCCTTAAGACATACCTTCATACCGCACAGTTCAGAAATGCTGAGACTGAAGTGAAGCTTGCACCTCGTAAGGGTTTTGTCAGTTTGGAGGCAAAATAGACATTGAAAGAGAAGAAGAGTTGTAAATGAGAAGGAAATGTAGGAAAGATAGTAAGGGAATAGACTGATAGATTTCAAGTAAATGGGAGTCCTTATTTAGAAAGGAGGATGCCCAGGAAAAAGTATGGGAATAAAGAACAGTCTTTTTACAGTGAACTGCCAGACCAGCAAAACATGCCTGTTGATCATGGCAGGGCACAGTTAATGCTACTAAAACTCCACGGGGCTTCAGTTGAAAATAATGCTTTATGCTTGCAGACAAATAGTTTTTCTGCAGAACATTTCCAAAGAGATCTGTGTAAAACTGCTTTTTTTTTTCCTTTTTTTTTATGTTGGTGAGGTGATTAAAATATGCTGAACTTCATACTAAGCAATGAATATGGCAGGTTGTTTTTTAACTCGTTCTCACTGGAGTCTAACATGTAAGCAAGTATGAAGTTGGAAAAAAGAAAAGCAGTTTTATGAAGTTAATGTTGTTGCTAAGTCTGTATGTGGGAAAAAGAAAACTTGGTGAATCCTGTAGTTCTCTTGCATTGAGTTTGGGTGTTTTGTGAAAGGTGATGATAAACTTTCTGACAGCACTTATTTCTGATTTCCTAATTTTGCACAAATTGTTCCTTTGCTTCTGGAGTGTACTAGGTGCTGCTAAAACTCTTGGTACAGAGCTGGTTTTAGTGTTACTTTAAAAATCAAACTACTTAGGCTTTATACAGTCATTTAACACAGGTTTATCAGTGCAGCTATACTGAGAAACTTAGATTCCTACCATAATGTTTCTGTAACTAAAGTAGTGCGTGCTTAATTATTACTCTTTTTTGCTTCATAAACTTTATCTACAAAACACTTAAACTGTGTTAAATTGTTTAACACACTGTTCATCTAAGCAAGAAAGCATTTTGAGATATGTAGAAGAGGCAGTGACTCAAGTATCAGGTATTAACAGTTAATAAGAAAGTGTGGTTTCATAGTGTGCCCTGCTGTTGTGCTGTCAGAGGCTATTTGTAGTGAAAAATGGGCCCTTGCAGGAAGAGAAGTAGTAAATCTGTCAATATATGTAGAAAACGAGATTATTAAAGATCTTTGGGTTAAAATACAGTTTATTTTTTTTTATCAAAAATATTAGAGAAGCAGTTGCGAACAGTACTTAAGAGGCACATGGCAGGCTTCCTTATGAGCTGTGGCTCAGTGATATGTATCCCTAGAAGTACACAGAGAAGCATCTTCAATGCCATTTTATTATCCTTGGCATTCACATACCAGATCCTTTTTAAAACCAAAGGTTTGATTTTATTCCTGCCAGTGATGCTTCTTGGTGTGTGAATGTGTAATTCAGAAATGACTGGATGCAACTGTCAGCTTGTCATAGGCTCTGTAGAATTTAGCAGCAATTAAAAAAAAAACCACGTAGCTGTGAGCTAGTTGGCTAATAACAGAGCATCTTCTGCCTCTTTCTTCTGTAATTCTTGGGCTGTGGATGGTTGATTTATGTAGTGCTGGTAAAGGACTAGAATTCCAGGCTTGAAATGCCAGTAAGTATTTGCATCTCTTGGCTAGGCGCTTCAAGAAAGAAATGGGAAGAAGATCATTCAAGACTGATGGATAGTAGGTAGATGAGTGATTGATAGATGACATGGGAGAGAAGTCCAGTACATAGGAACTCCTGGAGTGGATTATGGATTTGCGCACCATGGGAAACAGGGATGAGAATGCTTTGGAAGCATGCTCTGCCACAGGGTATGTTTCATTCCTGAGACATTCTCTAGCATATTGAGGGTTGTGGTGCTTTGAAGCTTATTTTTCCAGTGACTCTCCCTTTCTTGTAGTTACAGTTTTAATGTTGATGAGTAGTGGAATTGCTTTTTCCTCTTAATTTTTCTTCTAATATGCTTTTCCCTGTTTTTAGTTCCATTTTAGTTGCTGAGATTTCAGATTTTCTCTATATACTTAAATAAACTCTTCTTTCTTTCTCCCCCCCCCCCCCCCCCCCCCGATTCAGTTACTGAAATCATGAATCCTGTGTATAGCCCTGGATCTTCTGGGGTTCCCTATGCAAATGCCAAAGGAATTGGTTATCCAGGTAAGTAACTTTGTTTTTTAATGAGCTTCAGTTATGCTGATCTTTGTAATCAAGAAGAATACTCATTTATGAATGATTTCATGTATGGTAATCAGTTTTGGGGTGGGGGAGATGTTAAAATTCAAAAAGTGACATTTCAAGAGTGATGCTACTTGTTTTCTTGTATTTCTAACTTCAGTATCTCTTCCAAAGCAGCTTATTTTGGGAGCTCTAATAGTTACGCCCTGCAAGAAGAGGAGTCAGTCTATTTTTGCTGCTGGTTGGCTGGTGCTGTTAACCTTTCTATCCTCTAATTCTTGTTCATGCTATCTGTTTTATGACTGCCCACAGCATAGCATAAAAGGTGGGATCAAGAAAATGGCCCAAAAACATTTTTAAAACAGAAATTAAGTATTTCTTGCTTTCTTTGCTTCTTGCTCGGATTCAAGTTTCTTATCAAGCTTTTTTTTGCTCACTTCCTAATATGTGTGTGAGCAGGCTTCACTTCTGATGTCCCCATAGTTCAGAAGTTCGTTACTTTCCAGGAAGGCTGAAGAGAAGGGCTGTGCACCTCTGTGAGGTGTTTCAAGCGGTATGTCTTGAATGCAGTCTTTTTTTTGTCCCCTGATGTCTGTGGGGTAGGAGAATTACTCCATCCTGGGAGAGGCTGGAGGGTCTTTTGGCTGGGATTTTGTATCATAACCAAATAACCTTTTGTAGCTTTTACAGGGAGGCTGTTTTGTGATTTAGTTGGTGTCTTTGTTGGGAGCTAGAAGTCACTCTGCACGGTTTCTTTTTATATTCTTCATAGCTATACTATATTTTCCTACTGGTATTTACAGGTTTTAAATTTGGTTTTCAGCTTAGGTCCTGGAATTCCTATTTTCCTGTTCCACTTTTCTTCCTGCTTCAAAATACTGGTGCATAAATACTGTTTACTTGATTGTCTCAAACCTTTTAACTTCCACTTTTGCTTTTCAGATATTTTAATTTTTTTTTTCTCAGATGAGTGTACTTTTCCTTGATTTCTACAGCATTTATAAGGGGAAAACAAACTGTGTTGCAATGCTTTTAAGACTCATGGGTGGCTGACATGGTGCAGAAATAAATTGTAAAGCTGATGCTGTGTAACAATAAGACCGACAGGATGGTTTTATTCTCTGAAACTGTCTTAGTTATATGGACTGCAGTAACTTTATAATAGACAAGCAGCAGTGTTTTAGTAATTAATACCAGTTACAGTACAGTTATGTCTATAGTCGTAATTGCTTTTCAGGGTTTTCTTTTGCTTTATAAGAAATTACTATGAATTATTAAAATAAAACTATTTTTATTATCTCTTCATTTTCTAAACACATTTATATTAGCCAGGGTTTTGTTTGTATTTAATATCATTTACACATTGCATTGAAGCCCTAAACTAAATGGAGCCTTAATTTACTTAAGAAGTTAAACTGTCATGTACATTCTATGTGCTGAATTATTAAAGTACTGTATATTTGCCAGTCTTCACTTGGTTGTAAATTAGCATAAGTAAAATACACGGAATTGAAGCAGAATTGTTGTACAAGTGCCTTAAATGTTGTACTACAAGTTGATCACTTGAAATTCTTCCTTTCATCAGTCAGTTTACACAGATGTGACCTTTAAAGTCAGCTTAGTCATAGAATCATGGAATGGTTTGGGTTGGAAGGGACCTTAAAGCTCATCCAGTTCCAACCCCCTGCCACGGGCAGGGACACCTTCCACTAAAGCAGGTTGCTCCAAGCCCCGTCCAACCTGGCCTTGAACACTGCCAGGGATGAGGCAGCCACAGCTTCTCTGGGCACCCTTTGCCAGCACCTCAGCACCCTCCCAGGGAAGAACTTCTGCCTGATGTATAATCTGAATCTCCCCTCTGTCAGTTTAAAGCCATTTCCCCTTGTCCTGTCACTAAAGGCCCTTGTCAAAAGCTCTTCTTGGGATTTCTTGTTGGCCCCCTTAGGCACTGGAAGCTGCTCTGAGGTCTCCTGGACGTTTTCTTCAGACTGAATAAGCCCAGCTCTCTCAGCCTGTGTTTATAGGAGAGGTGCTCCAGCTCTCTGATGACAGATAGTTGGCTGAGCTGCCTGGGTCAGGCTTAAAGATTGTCGGATAACCTATTCTCTAAAATAGAAAGTAGACCTGCATTTTAGGATTGGAATAAAACCCAAAACAAACGTGTTGCATGACCGAGTCTCCTTTTTTTGCTTCTCCTAGTTAAAAAGCTACAGATTCTCTGTTCAGAATCGTCAAATTTACACAACTTGCGTGGTAACAGAAAGTAATGAACATATCACTGGGTGGAATGTATTATTTAAAGGCAGTGTGTTTCTAAAGCTGTTGCATATTTAATAGCTGTTTATATTATACTGCACCTATTTGAGGCTGTTGGGTGGGTTTGCAGTAGCAAGGAATCGATATCAAAATGTTATCTATATGGGTGCAAGTTCTGAGAAGTTAAAGCTGCTGCTTGTCATAGTTCTGTTTTTCACAAAGGACTTGTTCCTTGAGCAGCTCTGTGGTGGAGCTGAGCCTGTGAAGAAAGAATAGAGGACTGAAAACGTGTATCAAGTTCTAGATGTGTAGTCAGTCTGAGTAAGGTATAAAGCTGTTTACTAGCAGCTTGTCAATTTGAAAACTTAAGAGCTATTCAAACTCTGAAAAGTTGTTACGAATTGGATATGTTATTTTTTACCTTTGATTTGGAAGCTTAATGCTTTTCTTAGTCTTAAACATGCTGACCACCTAGTCAGCATGTTGGCCTAGTAGTGCCAAGTGCATGTCACTGCATATGTTTAGAGTGCTTTAAAAAACTAGGTTAGCATGTGTAGTCCCGAGTTAAGCATTTTTATCATTAGGAGTAATTGCTGAGGACTCTTCTATTTATAATGAAATAAAAGCCCTGCAAATTTGAATAGCAGTTTAAAGCTAGCAGCTTTAAGCCTGTCAGTAAATGTGCAATTACTAATTGCCTTTTCTTTGGGGAAGTTGAAATCGTTTGTTGGTAACAATGTTGATAACAAAATGTAGTAGTAACTCTGTCTTTCTAAATACAGACATTATCCGGTTTTATAATTTGGAATAATGTAAAGAAGTTACTGGGAAGATTAATAGCTATGATTAATTCAGAAGTGTCGCTTTCTGCAGTCTGAATAAAGTTTGTATCTTCGAAGTAACTGTGGTTTTTGCTAATGCTGGTTTTTGCCTTATGTTGGAGGCCACAGTTGTCATTGTATTCTGATGTAGAAGTGTTCACCTGTCATTTTGCCAATACCTTGTTTGGTACCTGGGTGTAATGACAAATCTATGAAATACACCAAGTGTTTTGGACTACTCATGGTTGCTTTGGACTCTCTATCTCTGATCTAGAGAGTCAGATTCGCTCTGACCTTTCGGGATTTATTTCTGTGAATAAGTCTGTTCACACAAATATTTCATGTATGTTAGGTCTTAAAACTTGGGGGGAGAACATTTGGATAGTTACACAAGATTTTAGGATTTACTTGTTTGAGTTTGAGATTTATTGAAACAGAAATGTAGAGGGAATGGAATCTGTGACTCCTTAGCTATATTCACTTCATCTGGCATTCCGCTTCAGGTGGCTTGGGAGGAGCCCAGTGTTTTAGTTGAGGAGGTGAGGCTGAAAGCCATCTGTTAGCTTATCTCAGTTAAAAGATGTAAAGCAAGAATCTTCGAGAGTAAAGTCTGGTTAGACTGTGCAGTCAGCCTAGAAAATAACTTCGATGTATTCTTTCTTCTAGCTGGCTTCCCCATGGGGTATGCAGCGGCTGCACCTGCCTATTCCCCTAATATGTATCCTGGAGCAAATCCTACCTTCCAAACAGGTATGTGTAATAGGTATGTCAAAGCAGTAACATGAAGTTTAGAAGTTGTTAGAACCAAGAATGAGGAAGAGCTGTAGGGATTTAACAATAACACACTGTATGATAAGTTTTACATTCCTTTGAATATGACTCATAAAGAATCATCTGATAAATTGAGTATAATCTTGTCTTAAGTCATACTGCTTTCACCTTCAGAGAAAGAAAAGCTGAGGTTTTAGCTGTTTCTGTATTTCAGGCTGACACTTGACAATTGTGTTTCCATTCACTGCTTCCTTTGTCATTCTGCTTGCTCTGTGTTCTGCTGGTTGTTTCCAGATCCCCGTTTTTCCTTCTGTTATTGTCTTCACAATTGTTCTCTCACCCTATTCTTAAATTGTACCTTTCCAAGTTCAGCTTGCCGTCTTCTTTCTGCCCTTGAAATTGTCTTACGCGAACCAATTGTCTGGAAAGCCTGGTTGCTGGATAAAATGGTTTTGTCCATAGTGGATACTGGGGGAGGATTTAAGGAACTGCACTTGCATGTTTTTGAGTTGAGAGAAAAGCAATGTCAAGAGCCTAGGAAAGGAGAGATGGAAAAAGAGGTGCAAGAGAAAACAAACAATGACAATGGAAGCATCGGAAAAATCATGTAAGTTAATTCCTGGCTCCAGGACTGGTGTCAACATCAGAATTTTGGGGCTGCACCAAGCCTGCTGGTGGTCAGTGGGGTGTGACTATCCCCAAGTGGAAAAAAGGATCCTAGCCCAGAAGCTAGCAGGGATCAGAGAGAGGGCTTTAAACTAGGTTTGAAGGGGAAGGGGATAACACCAGGCTCGCTAGAAATGAGCCAGGGGATAGCATGCTGCTGTGTAAGGCCAGGTCCTCAGGGCAACTTAAATGCATCAGTGCCAACAAACAGGAGGAGCTGGAAGCCGGTATGCAGCAGGGAAATTACAACATAGTTGTCACCACAGAAATGTGGTGGCGCAGTTCACGTGATTGGAGTGCTGCAGTGGATGACTACAGGCCCTCCAGGAGGGACAGGCCGGGAAAGAGAGGTGATGGGGTTGTGTTATATTGTCAGGGAGGGCATCACCTGCCTTGAAGTCAGTGTTGGGAGCGAGAAGGTTGAATGTTTGTGGGTGAACATCAGGGGGAAGGCCAACCAAGCAGATATCCTGGTAGGAGTCTGTTATAGACCACTGAGCCAAGATTAAGCTACAGATAAAGTGTTTTTCAAACAACTGGGAGAAGTTTCATGATCACTTGCCCTTGTTCTCTTATGGAGGACTTCAGCCTACTAGATACCTGCTGGAAGTGCAACACGGCAAAGAAACAATCCAGGAGGTTCTTTGATGGTGTGGAAGATAACTTCCGAACTGTGTAGACCAGGCCCCTAGTGACATGGTTTAGTGGTGGACTTGACAGTGCTGGGGTAGCCGTTGGACTTGATCTTGAAGGTCTTTTCTACCCTGGTTGATTCTGTGATTGCACTCACTGAAGTTTTTGTTTAATTCTGCTTTTGCTATTGGAAGATAATTTTGATGTGCTGATGTTTGAAACAAAAGAGAAACTGGCAGCATTTAATTTTCACTTCAACCATGAACATGCATCTGGTAGAACAGTATTTTCCTTACAGTTAGTTTACGTACTAAGGAATTCCTTACATTGCTTTCTTAGTGTAGATCTTGGTCATCTGCAGGAACTCTTTCCCTTAGGTGTATTATGCCAGTTTTTCAGAGGTACACATTGCACATAACAAAGTTTGTTCCTGACTGTCCATGTGTAACTTATGTGGTTAGGAAAGGATGCTGCTTGAAACTGTGAAGCTTATGTTGTGAAAGCCTGCTTTCCATATTGGATTTCTGTATTTGTACCATATGGCATTTCACAAACTACCAGCAGACTTGTCAAAGGGTATGGCAGCAAATACTGAGGCAAGAGAGAGTAAGTCGTTTAAAATGCTTGCCTGCAAGAACCTGTTAAAAGGGTGTAGCTGTGTGGCTTTCCTTGGAACTCTGAAGTATTCTGTTTGGTGCACCCTTCACTAATGAGAGGCGTAGCAAGTGCAGGACTGATTTGGGCTTGTCTTTGTTCTTGAATTTAAGGGAAGGAAATGAATGGATATTTTAAGTTCCAATAGTTAAAGTAAATCCTTTGTCTAGGGAACTGCCTCTGTGTAAGTACCATATCTGGGGGTATCAGCTTGCATTTGCACTGGGTTGCTTCAGAACTTTCTTGAGAGCGATGCTCAAGGAAGAGTAGTTCCTATCAAGGGTGTAACTCTTAGCATGGGAATCAAAACTGCACATGGGCTTTTATCACCAGCTTGGTTTTGTCCAGTTAATTGGGGTTTTCCTCTGTGTCAGTTGTGTTATAGTAAAAGGTTATGGTTTCTGGGAAAGATTCTTTGACTTGTTAGACTCAGTTAAGATTAGTTTGCGTTGATTAATCTTGGAATATGTCTCATGCTACACAGCAAGGTAAGAAATCTTTACGTTTGTGTGAAAAAGGACTAAAGGTGTAGAGAAGTCATACACTATCTTCAAATATCTTTATTTTTTTTAAAGGTAGTACTATGAGAGCCTATTGCTATTGAATAGAAAATAAGCTTTTATTTCAGACCTAACAATAACTTTAATTGTTAGCTACTCTTTAAGCTATGAACTAAAGTTTGAAATGTCCAGATCTTCTAATTCAGGCAGGTAACAACTTCAAGTACTTTGTAAATCCACATCATGAAGGAGTACTTGAATGTGCTGCAATACTGCTATTCAGAAAGGGCACCTTTTTACAGGTATCTTCCTTAAATTTCTGTGGTTTTGAATAACCATATGGTTTACTTTTAAGGTCTTTGTGCCTTATAAGGGAGACAAAACTTAAATGGGAAGGCACATCTGTATAAGAACTATTCTGCCGCTTTGTAAGAATGAAAGGTTAATTGCTTATGCAACTGTATAATTTTTAGAATGAGAGGGGGCTTAAATGAGGACATAATTGTAGTGCTGTTGTGATGCTTTGTGTTCAGCATTTTGTAGCTGAGTTTTTCAGCACTAATAGCGCTCCATACTAGAAATAGAAGTTACTTCCTCAGCATGCTCTGTTTATGAAGTACTTAGGATCTGTAAAAGTGAAAGTTCAGAGTAAGTGCTGTGGTAGCTTTCTTTATTGTCTCAAAGGTGATAGATTCCATTAAAAAAACCCAAACCCCACAGTAAACTTATTTCTTTGTGAATGTAACCATTTTGTGTGTGAAGGGTGGAATGAAATTGGAAAGAATTTCAGACTTCTGCAAAAAGCATGAAGGTCATCTCTCATCATACTGTCTGCACAGACTGATCTTTCACAACACAAATGCCAGTGTTCTTTCTGCTCTATGGCTTCAGATCTGTTCTCTGTATTGAAGTCAGCACATTCTAGACAGTTTTTGAAGTCAACCTTTTCTCAATTCTGACAGTCTCATTTTTTTTTTCTATAATTACCAAGTATTTTTAGTTCCTTGTGTTGCCCTAGTGCTAGTTTGTACGATTCCAGCTAAATAGAAATCATACCTGTGGATGTTGTCTCCTAGAGTGACACACCTGCTTGAGACCCAAGATCTTTTCAGCACAGCAGAGGCTAGGGCCTTGATGCTTTCCCCAGAATAGGTCATCCCTGTTATTAAGTACCGTAAATGTAATTACTGGTGGATGCTGCTTGCAAAGGAATTTGTATTGCCACTCTTGACTTTAAGCCATCGTATAGTCTTGGGAGTGTAGTGTGCAGCAGCAGTGGTGCTTCTAGTAGACCTCCTTCATGCCTTGTCAAGCCCTTGTTCTCTTATCCTGAGACTGCCTGATGAAGGCTGGAGAAATTAGGGAAGAGGTGTCTTTAGGCAGGGTGAGCCAGTAGTTGCTATTTATTTATCCTTGTAAAAATCGGAACAGTTCCCAGCTCTTAGACAGCAGACTGATTCTGGGGGCCTTGTAATAGGAATGCGAAATTCTTTCTGATGGTTTCTGAAGTATTACTGTAATGTGTGAAGTAATTCCCAAGTGATGATTAAGGGTATGTGTACATAAGTAATAAAAAGAAGATTTAAAGAGACTTAAATGCCTTCAGAGTCTAATTTGCAGTTGTGTTGAGCTCTGCGGTGCTCATATTTTAAAGGTGTGACTGCTCATATTTATTTTAGCCAGAAACCAAATACGAATGAATAAATAAATGTAAGTTAAAGTAGATTGTGTCTGTTGAAATTAATCTTGAGCTTTTTAGATGATTTGTAACACTTGAAATTGTTTTGTGCTGTATCTTCTACAGAAGGTAACTGCAGGTTAGTTGACCATTACTGTGTTTTGCCAGAACATTTTCATGGTGCATTGAGAACTGGGCTGGTACTAAGCTGTGCCAAATCCTTCTATGTAGGAATGCCACTTACTATGCCAAATATAAATATTTAATGATACTGCTACAAAAATCCAAATCCACTCATTTAATCCCATATCCAGAGATCTGAAAAACAAATAGTGCCAAAGTGCAGTTAACTGTCAATAACTTAATTGACGCAGTCAAGTGTGTTACGTAAATAATAGAATTAGCCCTCGGATATTGAGACTAGCGTACTAAGTACTCATGTGAAGATTAAGGCATTTGGAAATTAAGACAGTTATCCCTGACTTTAGGAAGAAGTGTACTGTCACTTAGTTTTCATGTTTTTAATGCAGATCTATCTTTGTTTCAGGTTATACACCAGGAACCCCATATAAAGTATCTTGTTCACCCACTAGTGGAGCAGTGCCACCGTATTCATCATCACCGAATCCCTATCAGACTGCTGTGTACCCAGTTCGAAGTGCCTACCCACAGCAGAATCCATATGCACAGGTAAATGAACAAAACCAAAAACCTGTCTGGATGGTATTTTGTTTATTACATTAATATCTGCTTGAAATCTAAATTTTACATCACATTTATTTCTTCAAGTATGGTGAAAGCTTTAACTACTTACACATACTCTGTAAATCGCAACTAAGAATTCTTACTGTATGCACTATTACACTCTTGTATGACAGTTGCTCTGCACTTACTGATCATGTGTTCAGCCTGTGAAATTACGCTAGATTCAGTAGCTTTAAAATATGTGCTGGATGCTCGAACTACCACATTCTGATTTTGTTTTGTCAAAAACTGCCATAAGCATGCATTGATGTGGTTATTTTAGGAAGCCTCTGTTGTGAATCAGGGAGTTAAGAAGTCTCATCCTAGGCACACTGTTGAAAACCAGTAGGGTAGAATGAAGATATTTAAGTGAGCTTGATATTTTGGAGAAGCTGGCCCTCTTTTTGCATAGAGGAATCTTGCCTGGCATGTACACAGTAGCTGAAGGGAATTAATAAGCACTTACAAGGTTTATCCAGTCTCTTCAGTGTGCTTGGATTTGTCTAAAACGTTTGGTTCTTTAACTAAAAGTAGCTGAATAAAAAGTTGTGAAAGTGAGAGAAGTTCAGTCATGGATATGAAAAGGTAGGAAGCGAAGAGAAAGACAAATGAGTCCATGTTGTTGATGGTACAGTCAGCATTGGGAGTTTTATGAAGGTCTCTGCTTTGAATGTTATCCTAAATGCCTTAAAAAAGGGGCTAAATGTTTAAAAAGTTTGCCAGTGAAACAGAGTAGTTGAAATGAGTGTTTTGGTTTCTGCTGTATAAATAAATTGCATCTTTAGGATAATGCTTTTATGACACAATCACAGAATCAACAAGGTGGAAAAAGACATTCGAGATCATCAAGTCCAACTGTTCCCTCAGCACTACCAAGTCCACCACTAAACCATGTCACTAAGGGCCTCGTCTACATGGGTTTTGAACGCTTCCAGGGACAGTGGTTCCACTGCTGCCCTGGGCAGCCTGTTCCAGTGCTTGATTATGAAAGAAGACACCATTTATCTTCCCCATTGTAATTACTTAATTTACTTTCTTTTTTCTCCTACAGCAAGGCACTTACTACACACAGCCTTTGTATGCAGCACCACCCCACGTAATTCACCACACCACGGTTGTGCAGCCTAATGGTATGCCAGCAACTATGTATCCTGCTCCAATTCCACCACCAAGAGGAAATGGTGTGACTATGGGTATGGTGGCTGGGACTACTATGGCAATGTCAGCAGGTAGGTGAGCCTTACGTCTGCTTGATTCAGACTGTTTCAGTTCAAGACAGAACACAGTTGCATTACCTAAGTGTGATGCCAGAGGTGTACTAGGCAGCATTGTAAGATCATTTAGATTAGAAGGGACTTCTGGAGGTCGTCTAGTCCAGGTCTTCAAATTGAGTCTGGCTGTATCAGGTTGTGTACTTGTGTATTTAGATCATCTCTAAGGGTGGAGATACCACATCTTTTTTCAGATATTAGTATTACAGTAAAATAGATTTTTATGTCTTTATGGAATTTCACTTACTCTTGCATCCTTTGCTTCTCATCTTACCGCTGTCAAGAGTCTGACATCCTCTTCTCAATATGTTTCTCTGTGCCTAATTGAAAACAGCCACCTCTTAAGACTGAGGAAGAAGCAGTGTTTTCAGTCCATCCCTCATACCGCTGATGTTCTTTGTGTGTTGAGATATAATATTTTGTGTTTGCACTCCGTGCAGGTCTTCCGTGTCATTTGCAATGGTTAGGGATGCCTACTTCCTAATGCCACACTCTTTTAGTGGTAGTGTTTTTTGAGATAAAGTGTTTAACCAATATCCTAGGCTCATCTATAAGCGTTTACTGAGGGGGTGTCATGCTTTGTTTCTCAGTGGGTGGTCACTCACTAGGAAATACATTCTTTAATTTGAGGCATCTCAAAACTAGACAACCTGTGTGTCACAAACAGAGCTAACATTGGCGTTTTGTACGCTGGCAAGCTTATCCCAGGAGTTTGTTACTATTTCTGCGAAGTGCTATGGAGTAAGGCTGTTTGAAGATCCTGCTATCTCAGCCTGTTTGTTTCTGAAGCCCCTTAGTCTGTAAAAACCTATCTGTAATAATGCAAACAAGAATAAATTTATTCTGACTTATTAGTCACGTTACTTCTACCATCAAATATTTTTTGGCATGTAAAGCCTGCTGTGGGGATAAATTTTGCAGTGAATAATGCTTATGTTGCAGGGTTTCTGCTAGAGCTATTTTTGAGTAATGAATATCTTTGTGTGCATTGGACTAAATATCAGAATGATCCACTTGCATAAATGTTTGCAGGACGATAGGGGCTGGAGTGCAAAACGATACTGGTAATTTTGCATTGGAAGATGAGCAAGCTGTAATTGTTTTGACAATTAATTGTAATTGTTTTGTAATTAACTCTTCCTCCCGCTTTATTTTTTTCTTTGTACTAGAGTTTATGCTTACTGAAAAAAAATGTTCTCTTCATCCTAGGTACTTTGTTGACAACTCATTCCCCAACTCCAGTAGCCCCTCATCCAGTTACTATGCCCACGTACCGGGCTCCGGGAACACCAACCTATAGTTATGTGCCCCCACAGTGGTGATCATCTGGCAGTCAGTGTAAGTTACTGATTTAGATTGAAAGCAGTTAATCGTTGCTATAAATGCCAGCACTGCAGGTTCTTTCAGGGAGATATTTTCAGAAGGTAAGCAGTCTGGGGTACTTGTGCACTATTCTAATTGAGTAGGAACACTCAGAAAGGTACTGCTTATGTAACAGCTGTTCCCTGCAAAGGAGAGAAGCCTACTGGGACTTCGTCAGTGGTCTGTATCTTCAGAAATCATAAATCATTTTCATGGTTAAGTGTTGAATGTGAAAGAATGAGCCTCAAGTTCTCAGTATTCAAATAAATCTGGGACTAAATGTATTCAGTATTTTGAATTAATTGGTAATTGTTGAATTCAGAAGTACTGTGATTCCTGCATGAAGCAATGCATGTAGGTTTGGAGTCTTATTTTTGATAGTCTAAATACGTAGGCAGGGTAAGTGTTTTGCCTTGCTCTGAGGCTGAAACTTTCTCACAAACTACTAAAACAAATGCACAACCTTGAGTTAATTTTATATATTCACTCTGTTTCAGGTAAGCATCAGTTCACACTTCTTGCAGGCATGGAAAGATGTTCTAGTGTGGATTAACACACTAAGGGTTTCATGAAAAGGAGTTAATTTTGAAATCTTCTGTAACGTGGGATAGATTTTGGGGGTGTAATGTGTAAACTGACCAAGTCTGATACTTTGGGGATCCTCACTTCTGTTTCTGGTTTGGTTTTAGGTTTTTTGTTGTTTCGTGTTGAGGTGTTTTTTAGCATAAATTGTGAATGGTTTCCTTTGAAACAAGGACTTGTCAGACCGAATGAACTTACAATTTTCACTGAGTCCGTTTAGCTTATGTCAAAGTTAACTTTAACTCTGGGTTTCTGTTTCAGTAGTTCGGAGTCCAGAGTTGTGGACTGCAGGTGACTGTATTCCCTTTGAGTTAGTAAATGTGACAGCCATTTCTTATTTTGCTGTGATGTTCCTTATGGATTCCAAACCTGAAGTGTTTTACTTGTATAATATGACACTCTTGGATGAAATAATACAAGTATTAAAGTGAGAGTTTTGCTGTGACTAAAATCATGACTGCTGACAATTAAATTTAGTGTAAAATATGTTTCTAATGTTGCAACCTCAACTTAAGACTGCACAGATGACAGCTGAAATAGAGATGATGGGAGAAAATCAGTGTAGTGAATTCTTAAACTAGAAACTTTTAGGTTTCAGTTGACTGGATAAGTGCTAGGGTAGCATTATTACGATCTGTTGTATGTGCATTATCAATACAGTGCATGCAATATTTGAATGTTGTTCCACACTCCAAATAGTATTTCACATAATTGAGAATGTTTCCTACTTTCCCCTCCTCCCCCCTCTTAACGTAGGTTTGAAGATGGGAGATATGCAATCAAGAAATTGAGGTTTAAAAGTTGGTGCTGAAGCCCTCATGCCTCCAACCAGGACTTTCCTTCTGAATGCTTTCAACACTTGGCTAAACACTACTAATTCCTGATCACTGAAGATTTTCCAGTGCTGCATATCTTACATCTTGGAACTCCAGCAGTTAGTCTTAAAGCAAATCCTGTTTTGTGGACTGTCTTGCAATTTTTTAGCTAATTATAAAGATAAAAAGGGAGTATAAATTTATTCTGATCCATATGTAGTTGAATGCATGTTAAAACACAAAAACGAAGCTTGCTCAATCTACCTGCAGTGACTGATGCAAAAACCATCATATGCAAATCCAAAGGAACCGAAAAGTATTTTACAACTTGTATCACTAATGCACTGTTGTAATGTATGCAGGGTCTTAAGAGACAGAATCATGAGTTTCTTTATAGAATACCATAATATGCATTAGATAAGTGCATCAGCCTTTTTCAGGTTGATGGAGTTGCCAGTTTAAAAGGGACATACTTTCATTTAAGTGATGTATTCTTTTCAAATTCAACTACTAAATTGGAGTGACTGGAAAATGAGTCAGACAAGCTGTAGAAATCCTGCACACAATTAGTTTACTTCATACCTTTTCATTTTCGTTGTAAGGATTCAGTGTTATACAGATGTTCTTAAGGATCAGAGTGAAATGACAAAGGTAACACTGTGTGTGCCAGTAAATAACGCAAACTTCCTTGAGGCAAAACTGGTTCTTAGGAATAGTAGGGGGTGATGTCACCTGCGTAATGAATTGCATGTCCTGGGGGGATATATATCCAGTACTATCTTTTATATGATGCGAGATGTGTCAAAGTGAGACTGCCACACAGACTGATAGAAAAACACTTTTAGTTCTCAGTTCAGGAAATCCGTGCTGTTTTTCCTAAAGGATGTTGTAGTCAGTTGCAAATATATGTGCAGTTGATCCAGCTTGCTTTCCTGGGACTTAAGAAATGTTAGGGCTTTCTACAACCAAGAGGAGTTCAGCTGCATGTTTTTCTGAGGAAAGCTTGTGTGCCTGATGAGTATGTTAAAGGGGAACAAACCATTTTAACACAATTTCCTTGTTAGCTACTTGCAGTAAGGACTATGGCTATGCTGTAGTAGGGCTGCCAGAACATAGAAGTTTCAAATAGTTGTTCTTTTATCTTTTTTATTTTATTTTATTTTTATTTTTTCCTGAGAATATTTGTAATGGAAGTAGGAGTTACTTGTCGGTTACAGCATTTTGATGTGTTTTCTTAAGTGCTTTCCCTTTTTACTTCCTAAATTGCACTTTGGAAGCACGTGAAATAAGACTTGACTGCAGATTAGCATTTCATTGCAATGAGTCATTTGTGATATTCTTTCTTGCAACTTCAATTTTTCAGAGTACCTCAAAGCAAGTGCTGTGGGATAAAGGGCTAGCCTTAGAACCCATTTGTATACCAAGATTGCTGCGGGGAAGATATTAAATTTTTAAAATTGAATATTGCACATTTAAAATCAAGGGTTTCTTAAACCTCCTTGACTTTACGATTCCACAAAGATGCGATTTTTCTTTTTTTGGATACCTTCTGCCTGCAATAAGTGACGCAGTAAATGGTTATAAAATGTTGTTCCCTTTTAATCGTTTACACAGAGGTGTGTCAGGCTGTGTTGTTCTCGTAGGTTAACTTCCATTCAGAAGTCAGGTTTTTTAAAGTTGTATATGTAGTTACACTTTGTTTTGGGGTGTTCTGCTCCTGTACAGATTTGGCAGCTACTTCAGGGTAACATCAGTGCTGATTTAATGCTGCCATTCCAGTACTCTGCCCTGTGGGAGGCTTATGTACCTTCATGACCTGTTGGTGGTTAAAGCCTTCAGTAACTTTATTTTATAGTAAGCACTCTCCATATTTTGTACTTCCTTTTTTTTGTTGTTGTTGTTTAATAAAGTTTAGGTTTATTTTGCATGAATCACTGTCAATGGACAACCCCCTTTATTTCTAATGCCTTGAACGTAACTATGTTGTTGGAATAAGTACTTTAAACCTTACTCATGAGCACTTACTGCAGCTTAGGGATTTCCATATATTTTTATATGGAGCAGAAAATTACGCCAGGCAAACTTAATTGAATCTGTACTGCTTCATTCAAGTCTGTTTAACGCTTCCCTTTGTGAAGTAGATTTGCAGCTTTGACTAGTCAGGTGTGCCAGAGAGTACAGTAAACATTAATGCAGGCCATTTGTCCATTTTAGCTAGTAGAGAGTGACATTTTGTCTTAGCGTGGCTGAGGTATGAAACAGTGCTGTATTGGGGAGCAGCTATAAAGAGCAAGCTCAGAGCTTTGCTGTCTCCTGTCTTATCACCCATTAAACTGAAAGCTTTGAAAATACGAGAGAACTTTCATGAATGCTGCAATAGATAAATAGTTAAGGAATGAATATAACTTCCTATGTATTCACTCTAACTTCAGATTCCTAAATGTCATCTTGGAAATGGTCTCTGTATAATACTCCATAACATGCAGGCAGTCTCACTTACTTGAGCACTTTTATTTCTTAAGTTGCATTATGGGATTCATCCACGAGGGGGAAAACTGTACCTTTCTTAAAAGGTACCACACTTCCCAGTTTCGATTATAATCTACTGGGAGGGTTGATATGGAAGGTAACCAAAAGCACAGTGCAGGGAGACGGGGGGGGAACACGTGTATATATAACTATCTTAATGGCATTTTGTTTCAAATAGTAGAAAGCATGGATATAAAACTGCAGCAGAGGAAACTGTACATCATTAAATAGGCGTTTACACAGCGAGGGTCTTATGAAACATTCTCTCCTGCTTTTTATATAACATTCCCTATTTAGAATTCCTTTATAAATAAATACACAGTATGTGTTTGCACTAGAGCTCCTCAGCAAAAGACAAGAGCTGGTGCAGTAGAGACATTTCAGATCAAGCTTCTCTTTAAAAAAAAAAAACAACAAAAAACCTACAAAAAAAACCTTTTATGGCAGCTTTATACGATTAAACCAATAGAAGTACTACTTTAAACCTGGAACTGAAACTAACTGTTGCAGCAATAACAAAAGTTTGAGGAAGTTTTGGGTTGGTTGTTTTTGGTTGTTGTTTTTTTTTTTTTAATTCAAATTTTAGGTGTTGAATTTAGATTGAGTATTTTTTACAAACTGAGGTATTCCCCAGGTCAGTACGAACCAATTAAAATGTCTTGTAAATGTAGCAGCAGCAAAAACAATGGCTGATAATTGGCACCAAAACGATGTAGCCCTAGTCAGTGATGTGGTGGTGAATAATGGAACACTAGGAAGGAGAACGGAGAACCTGCTACTGGATCTCGTTTATGCTTATTGTAACCATCTCCTGTTTGAAGTTTTTAGGAGACACACAAGGAATGCTGTCCAAGAAAGCTTCGTTTTGAGTGTACTATGCAAGTTAAATGCTTAGATGCAGTGGTAGATGAAGAAAATCCTTTCTTTTAGCTGAAGTCCTTCCTTGTATTGCTTCATCCACTGAAAACCAAAAAAAAATCCCAACCCACCACCCGTAAGTACCACCATGTCTTAGTGTTGTCTGAGAATAGTGCATGGTACAGTTGTATACCAGGGTACTCAACGTTGACTACTCTTTACAGAGCATTTTGGCTTCACTGCTACTTGGGTAGTGAGGCCACTTAAGATATGTGAGCAAGAGATGAGTCAGAATTGGCTTGGAATCATCCCCCAGTGCTTAAGCACAATATTGTACACCATTCACCTGGGTTTAGAACATAATTTTGATTGAACAGGTAAGCACAGTAATCTGATACTACCACTTTAGGCTTAAGCTCCTACCAGAGTGTAGTAAATGCCATGTATGTGAAATCTCTCATCTTAAGAACATGAACAATAGTGATGTTTCAGCTGGAACATGCGGGAAAGAGGACAGATGCTGTGGTTGTTGAATGGATGGTTGCAGTTGCCCAGGATGTGGTTTGTGCGGTAGAATGAGGATTGATCCATATCCTGCCTTCTCCAGCAGGTGTCACTGGCCGACCTTAGCATGTGCAGAGGGTCAAACGCAGTCCATTAATCCTCCCATCGAAGTGTTTGTGAATACCTCTCGTTATTATCAGCTTTCTCATCTGTATTTTATCTGCTCAGAGCTTCCTGCAGACCCTCAGATTCAAGGAGGTAGAATGCCAGTTAACAGGAGCAGCTGCAGCAAAGCTAGGGTATAGTTTTGTGGATCAAGCTTTGCCAAGAATCCAGTTCATTCTGAGATCTCTGAAGTAGTGAGGACTCTTTCAGTGTGGTGTATACACCTCTGGGGAGGTGTTGAGAGAAAATGAGCTGTGGTGTTGTAGACAGAAGGGAAGGAAGAAGGAACAGGGCTCATCTGGGGACAAGGAAACCTTTTGTTGTGTGGGTTGAATATAACACTGAAACACCTGAATTCCACAGGTAGTAAGGGTCTGTTCCCGATCTTAAAAAATACTCAGTGATTTATGGGCTCTGAAGTTACAACATCTAGAAAGTAAACGTGGCTGTTTTAAACTGTTGTGACTTTCGGGCACTTAGCAGGCAAACTGGGAAAGCTTTTTGAGCTGGCTGCTGTACGGACTTGTTTAAGTAGAATGGATTTGTTAGTGGTTTTTTTTTATTGTATTGCTATTATTGGCTGCCCTCCTATCTAAGATTTGAAGAAGTGAGTGCATGCAATGGAAGTACAAGAGGCCCCAGTAATAGTTCTCCATGTTTGTTATGAAATAGACACAGGTTTCCTTTTTATGACTTTTTTTAAAACTGTCTTAGGAACAGTTGTATTGGTACTTTTTTAAGTTTAGGTCAATGTTGTCTTCCAGAATAAGTTTTAAAGCATCACTCACTCCTGCATTGAACTATTGCATCAACACAAAGAGTGGAGATTCCATTCTGAGCCAGTTCAATTGTGAAAATTCATACTTTTTTATTTTTTATGCAATTCAATGAGTAGATGAGCTCAGATTTAAATTCTTAAAAGCACGTTTATTGTAACAAGAATTGTTATGTATTAATACTTCCGTTTTCAATAAAGATTGACTTGTGTTGCTTATTGTGGTTTTTTTCCTCCTGCCTTTGGTGACATCCTTTTGGGTAAGATTCTGTTGCTGGATAACAGTCTGGTATGTTTAAACTCCGTAAGGTAATGCAATCTGGTGAGTGACTGAAGCAAAGCAAAACATTTAAATTGCTTAAGTGACCTTTCTCAGTAAGGTTTCTTAATGGCTAACAAAGCACAGTAATAAAAGGCTTCACAGTGAAGGATAAGCTGCCCTAAGTTGCCCTGCTTGAGGGTATGGTAAAGGTGGTACAACCCTGCCTCATTCGCTTTTGAGGGATTTCCTGGGGTTCAAGGTTTTTATTACTTTATAGCTTAAAACAATGTAACATGTAAAGTTTCACAGTGCTTTAGCATGTATTTGATAGCAGATCAGTGCTGTTTCAGAGGTGACAGTCCCTGAGCAGAAAGCTGTTGTAGATCAGTGTCTTGAGTGTTCTCCAGAAGAAAAATAATTGAGTAGGTGTGAACTGTGTGAAATAATCCTATTTCTTTCGATGTGTGTGGCTGTAGGTGACACTAATATTAGACTGGAAGTAGGTATATTTGAGGGGGACGGGGCAGTACTGCTTGAACTAACTGGCTATTTCATCTATTGTAGGTCTCCAAAAGTAACAGTAACTTACCTGCTAACATGCCTGTGAAAAGCAACACATGTGGAAGAGGAAGGTCCAGCATCAGTAACTGCATGGATCTGCAGAAATAGCGCTTGGTTTTTGAGTTTATTGCTGCAGGTCTCTTTCATTGTTCAGTCAAGTAGCTGAGCTTCTAAAACAGCAAAGCACCAGGAATCCCACGGACAGATTTTGGTTTACTGCACTTCAAGTGAATTGCTGGTCAGGTATCCTGGGCTCACTTTTATTTTCCAGGGAGATAGGTTTGGGTTTTGGTTTAGTTTGGTTGGGTTTTTGGGTGTGTTGGTTGGGGATTTTTTTTGCACATCGCAGGAGCTGATGGAAATTCAGAATCCTGAACCAGTGGGTTGCTGAAATCTGGGAGGACACAAAGGAGTAAAACCATTCTCTACAATGGTGCTGATCATTCTTTGCTTAGAGGCATTCTGGTGCAGCTGTTCTTGTGGTTGTCTGTTGTGAAGACATACTTTGCACTGTATCTGCCACTTGTAGGAACATGGTACTGAACAACTTTTAGGTTCTGTATATGGGGTTTCTTTCTAGTTTGTGTTAAATGTATCCATGGAACTATCAAAATGGTGGGTCATTTATGTTTGTGGGGTTCCCTGTCCCCCCCCCCCCTTCCCAGATTCATTCTGCAGTGACATTGTGATGCATATTGCTCTCCCACTTACTTGAGTGGGAGGTGCTGTGAATTGTGCAGATAAGAATTCCCCTCATTTTAGAGGCAGCTTTGAACACTTGATAACAGCCAGAGCCCCTTCCCAAAACATAACCATTCAGTTGGCTGTTGCCAGAAGTAAGGCAAGAAATTTTGAGTCTCAAGTTTTTCTGTAACTGATTATGGGCAAGAAGTTTTTTTTTCTTATGTCTTGCTTTGATTCTGAACTCCATGGCTCACTGTAGATGAAGTCAAGCAATAGAAATAGCTTTGTTGGTGAGCTCCCCTGGAGTCGGGAGCAGTGTACTGATTATTATTTAGCTGGGAATTCTCCTTTGCAGGAAATAACCAGTGATAGTGCTGGGGTTCAGGGTGGTGCTGCATTGCATGAATAAAATGTCTGACTTAGGTGTGGGAGGCTAAATGCTCTCGTGTATTTTATTTCAGACTCCATCAGGCTATTGGCTACTCAGAATAGAATGGACTACTCTAACAAAATACAAATTAAAACCCGTTGTAGAGCAGTTAAGAGCACTTTGGTAGCTATGGGAAGTTGTATTGTCTGCACTGGAGAGAATG